AAATCGTTTGGGATCGAGCAAATCCTCTGTTACGAAGCGAAGCGTTGTAGATTTACGTTGTTAGAAATTACAAGAAAAAAAAAATATTAATGATCTTTGCCGACTTAATTAATTTTAGAATAAACGTAATCAGGTGATTTCGATATCAAATATAAGAATTGATTTGAATAAATATGAATATGTATATATGATTATTACTTATGTAAAAAAAAAAAAAAAAAAAAAAAAAAAAAAAAAGAAAGATGGATATTAAATATCCAAGTAGCGAAGTGTAATGGAGAGTTAATTGAATTGTACGATTAAAATATCCGATGTCTTAATAGTTGAGAATTATTCGAGTCGTTGATGGAATTAACGAATGGTCATTGTAATGAATCACGGTAAATAATTTAAATCGTGGTAAAATTTAATATGGGATTCACGTGATGAATCTTCCTGTTAGAGATTAGAGAATGAATAGCGATGCGTTGAACGGCCGTCTTCGCTTCGGCTTGGAGAATATTTATCATCGTGCCGATCGTTGTGTTTCACACAGGTGATGGATGGGGTATGCAAGGAGGCGCGCCAAACGGTTTGGGTGGCGGTGCTAACTCGGGAATGAGCGGCCCACCTATGGGTGGCAATAATCAAGGAAATCAGGGCAACATGGGTGGAAAGACCACTACTCAAGTCACCATTCCTAAAGACGTAAGTAAATTTTGTTCAATACTTTCTCTACGAGTTTAAAACTTTCTCTTGTTTCAAAGAAAAGTAAGGATAATAGGTAGTTAATAGTAGAACGAATTAGCGGATAATGGATAATTCTTCTAACGTTTAATCTGATCAACAGCTTGCTGGGGCAATTATCGGCAAGGGAGGCGCCAGAATTCGAAAAGTAAGATCAGATAGCGGTGCTGGAATTACTATAGACGAACCGTTGTCTGGCAGTAACGATCGCATTATCACTATAACCGGATTACCCAGTCAGATACAAATGGCTCAGTACCTGCTTCAGCAGAGGTAATTGTTTCGCTATCTCTATGTGCGATATTTTATTTTATTATTTTTTTTTAACCCATCCCATTTGCGCCCTATTGTGCAACTCTTGAAGCATTTTAACATGTGACAAATGTATTAACGTCGATTAACAAATAATTAACATCATTCTTACAATGTATATTGCGTCTACTAGCTGGCATATTCGTACCATTGTTTGTAAACGAGTTTCCATTAATTCTGCGTCTCTGTTCAATCGCGAAATATGGAGTAATCCGCTTTGTAAAGTAACTTTAGAAATGAATCCCTGGCGCGTAAACGTGTGCGTTCCAAGTCTTTGCAAAGTGGGTAGGGAGCTTTTGTACAAACACGCTTCTATCTCGTCACAATGGATAGCTTATAATGCGCAAACACGCGTTCCATATCTACCGTAAGTATCGATTTTCCCACTTTTCCCCGATGAAACGCGATTCTCCACTCTTAACTTTTTAACGTGTCACTTTTCTCCAAATTGAAGAAAGAAAAGAGAAAAGAAAGAAAAAAAAAAAATATCGATCCAAATTTCTTCACATCTTGAAAATTCTCCATTCTAGCTTTCTCATTAAATATTAATAATAAATCGAGAATTACGTAGTGCTCACATGCTCACGCCACACGATCACACGCATTAACATCCTCAGCTTATTACCTCGAAGCGATCACGTCCAAGAGCCGCCCTACTATAACTTTCGACAAGTAAACGCCATTGAACAGAGGGAAATTAAATTCCGCTTCTGGTCGCATCGAATCACACGATCCATGCACGAGGACTAAACTAATTAACTTAAAAACCCCGACTAACCAATGCGAGAAGAAATCGTGAGAAAAGTGAACAGGGGGAATTAAAAAAAAAAAATAAATAAATAAATAAAATAATAATAATAATAATAATCGTCGCGAAGGTGGAGGAAATCGAAGGTGGAGAACACGGCGTTGGAGAACACGTCTGCTACTGCTGCTACTACTACCACTTAAAGCTGAACGAGTTAAGCAAAAATGGGAAATCGAGCGCCGTTGCATGGAAGACTAGTGATTTTGTTGTTCTACTTTCGATATAACAAGGAATCACTAATCATCCTACAAAGGCGCTCGCGATCGTCGCCTTCTCTTCCCAAGAATATCCTGCTTTTATGGAACTAACATCAAATCCCGCTGCGGCCTCCATCGTTCGCGTGACGTTCTCTCGCGTTGCGTAACTTGTAATTTTCTTTCGAGCTTCTCACAGAATTTATTTTATCCGTGTAGATGTTACGAATATGTGTTTAAATTTAAATAATAAAAAATCGATTCTAACTATGGTCGAGGTTATGTGTATTTGCTTGGAATGTTAAATATGAATAAATGTGTTCGATTCGTTCTTTGTTGTAAATTGTATTTGTCTTAGAATAGAACGTGGACGTCTGCGAGATGGATATAAGAAGGAAATGTAATCGAAAATTTAGCGATCGGTCGTCGAGTTGAAGCAATTCATTCCTATCCTTTATAATTTGCGAGCTTTTTTCTTCTAATTTTGCACAATAATATTAACTGTACTGATCGTTAGTAGAGTTATATAATGTAATTATATCGAAATAAATACCTCTCGAAAATGTTGTCAATGCAATTTTACGTATAGATAGATTTTTCAAGCATGATAATAATGTTTAGTTAATGATATCGCGACTCATCAGAGAATCTAAAATGACCGATATCGACTAATCATAATTAATAATTATTATTATTATATACGAATATTAATCATTCTTCTCTAATAAAATACTTCTGATGATCTGTTACAGCGTGCACGAGAATGCAGACCATTATTAGGACGTGGTGTAAAGAGGAAGCATTCGGGGGGAGCCAAAGATGCGTTTATAATTTTTTTAGGGATACTTCTTCGCGCGGAAAGTGGAGACCGATTAAAAGCGACGAGAACTTTTTCATCGAGAGAGAAAAAAAAAAAAAGAAACAATATAATATCACACACTTGGCGTTTCTCCTTATGCGTTGCAAGACCAAAAAAAAAAAAAAAAAAAGAGGAAAAGAGGAAAAAAAAAATAAGGGAAGAAATTTCCTATATAAATATTAATCGGTCGAAGCAAAAAGCAAGGAGAGACAGTCTACTCTACAGACTTTTTCCATTCGATTCTACGGATTTATGAGCAAGAAAATGCTCACCTGCCTGCTTTCACGAGTCGAGAAACATGGAATTGGCATTCGAGGAGCAACATCCTCGTACAAGAAAGGCCAAAGAACAGCACTATTTCTACGCCTGAGATCGTTCTCGATCTTACGCATTTTTTTCTCTTTTTTTAGTTGTTTTTTTTTTTCCCCCAATCATTTTATATCACGTGCTTTTCTCCACAGCTCTGGACGAGCTTTGATATGATCATTTTTTTCTTCTTTTATTTCCCATTCGTTTTATTTCCTTTATTGTTTTAACTAATCCCCCCCAAAAGAGTCCCTATCGAAACGCACATTGTTCTCTGTTCCCTCTTTTCTTCGCTGTTTTGCTGCGGAAACATTACGAAATTTGTTCTTTTATTCGTGGCAAATCGTAAAAAAAAAAAAAGAAAAAAAAAAGAAAAAAAAAAGAAAAAAAAGAAAAGAAATTCATGAATTTTACATGTTCAAGTTTCTGACAGCTGAAGGTGAAAGATCGAAAAGTTTAAAATATCAATGGAAAAATGTAGCGATAAAATCGAAGGAAGGGAGAGATTATCGAGTGATGAATTGAAAACAGAAACGACGAGAGAACTAAATCTATAAAAAATATCGACTCATTATAATATGCGATACTTTTTGTATATAACATATTACTTTACTAAAACAAAAAAAAAAAAAAAAAAAAAAAAAAAAAAAAAAAAAAAA